TCCAAGTCATGAGTCAAAGCAACTCGACAAGATGTGAATACATCAAGATGCTTAAACAAAAAATGGTAACCCCATTTTGAGCTTAAACGATGAGTATGACCTATGATCAAGTGATCTCACTTGACTCCTAAGTCAATATACTCTAACATAGGTGACTTTGTCGCCGACCATTTCTAGATGAAGTTCTCGCATGTTCTTTTTCTATGCTCTTGCATTTGTCTCATGCATATTTGTTTCCCCTTTCAAAAAAACCTTCATCTAGATTTCTTTTCTTTCTATTCTGTGCATCCAATTCATTGCAAATCTTTCAGTTAATTCCTTGCAAATCCTTGTGAGATCTTACTTGTCTAGTCAGCTGGGGTGACAAATGTTTTCTCTGCGATGAACTCGGTCTCACCGATTTGATGCCCTCGGTCCGTCTGAATCCTTTCGGTACAACTGAAGCATCCAACTCGGTGCCACCGATTTCACTACAGGAAAACCACTTTGCCATTTTTTCCTGCTTTACTTTGGATCCAGCTCCACTCAATGAATCTTGTCCTCTACAAGCATCACATTTTTATCATTACTTTGTGTTGTGACTCAAAGACCAAACCCATTCACGACAAATTCCAGAAGGCCCTTCTTGGAAATTGATGTCAAAGGGGGAGATAGAGATAACATCAAAGCTTAATCACTTCAATAGGGGGAGAGAGATATACTTCAACAGGGAGAGAGATATCTCCAGGGGGAGAGAGAATACTCAAGAAGAGAGTAATCCTCAAGGATCCCAGATGCTTGGCGTTCAAGAGGAGAGATGCCACATGTCTTCTTGAGGGGAAAGACATGTTCATATGTGCTTACTTTATATGAGCTTTGATTTTGCATGATTTTGCATTTTGCTCTGATTTTCTGTTCCCTATCTTCTCCCAGTATCCCATTTCTATGATTCAGGGGGAGCAAGACATCTAAGGGAAAGAAAGTCTCAAAATTCATTGCACATCTTTACCTTTGGGGACATGTCTATATTCAATGTGATACTTGGTACTCACTCTCAACATGTCATCCCAGTCTTGGTACTCTTGTGGTTCTTTCTGTTTGTTCTGGTTAGTAAGTGCATCTGTGTTATCTAACCTTATTTTCACAGGTTCATTCCATCCCAAGCCAACTCAAGACCACAAGGTAAGTATATGCATCACAGTCATGTGCATGAGGAATTCTTGTTGATGTACATACTGTTTGCAAGAAGGACTCATGAGCATGAAGGTACATTTCCCATATTCACATCATTTGCTCTGATGCATATAGCCAAGATACATGTAACACATTGCCTTCTCTGTCATGCTTATGCATTCACATGCTCCTATATTCCATATTCACATGATTGCACACATGTAGGGGGAGCCTATGCATGTTACATGTCTTTCCAAAGCTTTACTCGTTATTCTTTATATCTTTATTTAAAGCTTTGATGTATGTTGTCATCAATTACCAAAAAGGGGGAGATTGAAAGCACAAGTGCTCCCTGAGTGGTTTTGGTAATTAATGTCAACATATCTCTTGTTGGACTAACACTTTTACCTAGTATGTTTCAGACAAGTTCAACAATGGAGTTGCATGGACTAAAAGGATGTGGAACCCCTTCAAGATGCTAAGGACAAATGATTGGCTCAAGCTCCAAGATCAAGACTCTACATTTTCTATTTTAGTGATCCAAGATCACATTGAGTCTATAGGAAAAGCCAATACTATCAAGAGGGGATGAGGTGTTGCTTAATGGCTTGCTTGCTCAAAGTGCTTAGTGATATGCTCCAAAGCCCTCAACTACTTTACCACATTCAATTATGTCCTAAACCAAAAAGTCTAAACTCGGCCCCGCCGATTCTTTCCATTCCGGCGCTACCGAGTTCAGATGTCATAGCCACTGCCACAAACCCTAGGCAAATCGGTCTCACCGATAGGGATCTTGGTCTCACCGAGATGGGATTGTAATCTCTCTGTGTATGTCCGTTACCAAAATCGGTCTCACCGAGTTTGAGCAATCGATACTACCGAGATTACAATACAAACTCTCTGGTTGGCTTATTACCAAAATCGGTCCTACCGAGTTTGTGTAATCGATCAAACCGAGTTTGCCTGACCAACTCTCTGGTTAGCTTATTACCAAAATCGGTCCCACCGAGTTTGTGTAATCGGTCTCACCGAGATTACTTTATGCCCTAACCCTAACCATATTGGTCCTACCGAGTTGCATGTCGATCCCACCGAAAATCCTAACGGTCACTAGATTTGCTGAATCGGTCCGACCGAGTTTATCAATTCGGTCCCACCGAGTTTGGCAAGTTGTGTGTAACGGTTAGATTTTGTGTGGAGGCTATATATACCCCTCCACCTCCTCTTCATTCGTGGAGAGAGCCACCAGAACGAACCTACACTTCCAGCATACATTTTCTGAGAGAGAACTACCTACTCATGTGTTGAGACCAAGATATTCCATTCCTACCATATGAATCTTGATCTCTAGCCTTCCCCAAGTTGCTTTCCACTCAAATCTTCTTTCCACCAAATCCAAATCCTGTGAGAGAGAGTTGAGTGTTGGGGAGACTATCATTTGAAGCACAAGAGCAAGGAGTTCATCATCAACACACCATTTGTTACTTCTTGGAGAGTGGTGTCTCCTAGATTGGCTAGGTGTCACTTGGGAGCCTCCGACAAGATTGTGGAGTTGAACCAAGGAGTTTGTAAGGGCAAGGAGATCGCCTACTTCATGAAGATCTACCGCTAGTGAGGCAAGTCCTTCGTGGGCGACGGCCATGGTGGGATAGACAAGGTTGCTTCTTCGTGGACCCTTCGTGGGTGGAGCCCTCCGTGGACTCGCGCAACCGTTATCCTTCGTGGGTTAAAGTCTCCATCAACGTGGATGTACGATAGCACCACCTATCGGAACCACGGCTCAAAAATCACCATGTCTCCAAATTGCGTTTGAATCCTCCAATCCCTTCCCTTTACATTCTTGCAAGTTGCATGCTTTACTTTTCGCTGCTCATATACTCTTTGCATGCTTGCTTGATATGTGTTGTGATTGCTAAACTTGTGCCTAAACTCCACTCCAACTTAAAGAAGTTAAAAAAACTACAACTTTTGGTACTTAGTGTCTAATCACCCCCCTCTAGACACCTCTTCTCGATCCCTTTCACCAGCGGCGCCCCTCGGCCCAGATCTGGGCCCTTTGAGCCCCATCTGGGTCAGGGCGAGCCGGTTGTTTCTTCCATGATGGCGCGGCTCCCTGGAGGTCAAGGTGGTGCGGCAGTGGTCTCCTGGCACGGCGGTGAGGTCATTGGGCGTTCTGCAACACGTAGGCAGGGACTTCGCGGACTCGGCTGGGCCATTAGGGGCCTGGTGTGTTCCTCGCCGTCGCGCCCGGTCGGTTGCCATGCGGGCGGCGAAGGTTGTTCCCTCCCCCGTTCGACTATGTTGCTGCTGCCCCCGGTCTCGTCGTCCCCTCCTCTTTCCTCTAGGCCTCGTGCTGGTTACCATGGTGAGGCGTTCCGGAGGATGATGTAGCCGTGGTGACACATGCTCGTGGGCGGAAGTTGGGTGGAGCACTCCGGATTGGCGGGGCGGTGATGGTTCTTTGGGGTCGGGAGAAATCCCTTTCGGCTTGTCCGGCACCGATGCAGTGACGCCGACGGGTGTCGCCTTTCCTTCCTGGAGGGCTTCGGGTGTACCCCTTCCCCACTGTCCCCGTGTACCAGGGGAGACCCTCAGACTCGTCTGGGCAGCAACGGTGTTGTCGTCGTTTTCCTTGTTGAAGGTGTTGCTCGGGCGATGCTTCGGAGTGCTAGGAGCGCGGTGGGACTTCTTCGGTGGGCGCAGCGGCTTCGGTCTTCTTCATCTTCGCCGATCTGCCGGTGTTGGCATTTTTCTCTCTTTTATTTCTTTCTTTTTCTTTGGGCTTGGTTGTGTCGCAGCCCCGACGTGCTTGATGTATCGTGTGCTTGGTCGTTGCTTTATAATATAAAGTGGGAAACCCTTTATCGTCATTCTCTTTTTTTTTGACGGGTCGTCATTCTCTTAGTTATTCAATATATCTCCAAGGAAAATAGACGTGCACAATTGTGAGCAGTTATCTTGTATATTTATTTTTCCAAGGGAAAGTACCCTTGTATATATAGACATGCACAATATGAGCAGAAAGTGCTCTTGTATATATGCAAACCAATCTATGATTTGATGGTTAGAAGAACAATGGTATACCCGGCCCATCAGGGATTCAAGTCCTAATGCTTTTATTTTTCTAAGTTTATTTCAGAATTTTCACAATGCGCGTTCAGTTGAAAGAGTCTGTCGAAAGTACTCTTATGTGCCTGAGTGAGAGTTCATTTTCGTTTGGCTCGCCAAGAGGAAAAGACCCATGGTGAGGCTGATTTTCTAACACGCCCTTATCGCGGAACCGATTCATTAAGGTTCAAGTTGGTCATATTTTCCTGAATTTATTTCAGGCCTATCGGTCATGCACATTCGATAGGAGAAGATGTTCCCGTCAACTACAAATGCACTTGTATCGACTTCGTTAATCTTAAAATGCTGTACTCGTTTCCTTCAAAAAAAATGTTGTACTCGAAGGTCCTCAAAGAGGTAGGGTGTTCAAAGAGGGAGGGTGTGCGGACGTGCGTTCACAGGATTGATTGAAAGAATGTGCGTGTATGCATCTGCCTTTATATACCGTGTTAAAAAAAAGTCAAATAAACCCCAAGACCTGAAACAGATTTGAAGTTCTTTTTCTGTTTCCCCCTGAAATGCTGCAAATTTACATAATTATGAACATACCCCACGCAAAGAAGAAGAAAAGAATGTACATACGACTGCCTGCTAGGGAATATTGCTTTTGAAGGCCTCGAAGATTGCTGGGGCACTTCGTTCTCTATATTTTCATGGCAGGAGGATCCAAAACAACTTGTTCTGGAAATGGCTGCTGCCCGTTCAATGGTTTGACAAAAATGACGTATCTGACATGAGATTCAAATACTTGATGTATCTGGCAAATGATCAAGCCGACCGTTCAGTATTTGGCGGGCTCTGGAGCTTCGGTACTGCAGTCGCTGGTGCAGTGCTTCTGACATTTGCTCAAAAAATTCAGGATCCCATCTCTGAATTAGAAGAGGGTCCTCAGCATAGCATATGTATATTGATGTAACTGCGCTTTCAACAACCACGACAGCTAGCCCAACCTGCAAAATAAAGCGGCTCTCAGTTCTGAATAAACTCTGCAGGAAATATTTAACTCGAAATATCAATAATAGATACTCCCTCCGTTCCTAAATATAAGTCTTTTTAGACATTTCAAATGGACAACATACGGATGTGTGTAGACATATTTTAGAGTGTAGATTCATTCATTTTGCTCTGTATGTAGTCACTTGTTGAAATCTCTAGAAAGACTTATACTTGGGAACGGAGGGAGTACTATTCATAAAATTCAGTCATGCAGCTCCTAGGAGTTTCTACTGCAAGAAAAATACATAATCCGGGAGGCCCCTTTTCTAAAACACTTCAATCAAAACCGGATACTCATGTAAGCACTTACCAGTATCATGCCAATCAGCATAGAGGTCGAGCCAACCATAATTGCTTTATCACGTTGTGTGAAATATGTCCAAACACCAGTACAAGTTCCTGTAATTAACCCACCTAATATTGTGCTCATCAAAAGAACAGCACCAGAACAATCATAAGCAATAAGTGCTTCAATGCCAGTCGACTGGAACAGCTCCCAAGCATCCCTAGCTGAACGATTGAAACTCTGTCCGTTGACAGCTATCTGAAAGTGAAAAACAGTGTGATACAAGTGTATAATGCAGTAGTAAGCCCGAAACCATTGTTTAGATAATGATCAGCAACTTGATTGATATCAATAACCAATACTATGAAGGAACAAATCATTTCTCCATACAAAGTTTTACCAATTCGAAAAGAACAAAATCAGCGATTTGCTTCGCAGTCACATGCTTTGGGTATCAAGATTCCTAAGGACGGGAATGAGCCGACCCGCTCTGGCCCAGACCCGGTACCCGTTGGCCCCTCTGCTTTCTTCAGGGACATGATGCCTGCCCAATGATCCAGTGGTGACTGGCCTCATATCCCCTTGGGTAACATGGTCCGACCCATTTTAATACTAGATTCATATAAAATAGGGAGTAGTAGTACAACATCTTTTCAAACAGAATCATTTATCGGTAGGAATTTTAGCATGTCTAGAAAACAAGCTATTTCTAGCATGAACACGCTTAGCACCACAAGTTAGCATATTTGCAACTCTACAACAGAGGCAATTTTGGATCAAGATTTAAATTTTTCCTATAAACTGGAATGCTAACAAAACTTGCAAAGGTGTATGCTATTGTAACGACATAATACATCTTGAGCAATTAAATTTGTGTCGAACCGCTTGTCCCGATGGGCCGTTGGGGGCAGGCTTCCCTGGCCCAGTTTTCATGCGAAGCTGCTATAGTTTGAGGAAACATGAAAAAAAACATAGTGCACAAATATGCATGGCAAAACTGCAAAACACAGAGAACAGACTCTTTTAACTTGATATCTTATACATCCTGAGAACTTCTAAATAGATAAACTCATATTTGCAACTGACCTGTACATATGCATATTTGTTGAAGAAACGAACAAGCGTCTCCACAATATGAAAGAAAAAATCAACACAGCACAGAAGACACTCGTTGTTGCCAATTTTAGAACGAACTCCTCTAATCTGAAATTAAATATAAAGAATGAAAAGGAGTAAACAAATGGCAGGCAATTAATTGATAAAATTTCACCCCAGCTAACTCTAGCCAGTAAGTCACAGACCTCCCAACGTAAAGTCCTAATGGCAGCCGTAAAGAGTGATCCATAGCAAATGCTTCCAAAAGAAGTTGTAACAGCATACTGAAGTGACTTTAGAAGTGGTTTGGGGGGCATCGACGCAGCAGCTTGTCCACCATGAATGAGAACAAGGAACACCATTCCTGATACTATGACATGGACTGTATTACTAAGGACAGCTCCAGTCCAAAACAAACTGACTGATAAAGCCTGCAAATTGCAGGATAATTATTAGAAAATATCTAAAAGCAAAGAAAACATTGAAATCCAACATAGAATAATGGCAACAACTTGCCCTCACCAGAACAAGCCACCATTGCCCACAATTCGGTATGGGCATAGCAACAATGCCAGAAACTCCGAAGGACCATAATGCCATCCAACAAAGCATTACCAGTACAAATGCATATGCTACTCTCATCACATCTGGAAGTTCCCAGACCATCTTTATTGCCTTTTGCAGTACTAGCATTGTAAATGGAAATCTAGCAAAAAAAAGGTTAGTTTTCAACAAATATATTACTCATGACTTCATGAGAATAAAATCGTTCTTTTTTTTATTTTACCACATAATTAAAACAGCAATAAGGAAATTAACAATACTGCGATCAAGCAGAAGTCAGCTAATGGACAGAATATCTTCTAGTACAGCAGGAACTCTGAGACTAAATTGAGAATTTGAGATGCAGAGGCTGGGGGTTCCAACCTCCTTTTTTAAAAAAGAAAAAAAAAACTGTCTAACTGAGGTTCCATGTTGTTATCAAATACATGCGGAAAAGATTATCTCCCAGCAGAACCTTCGGAACAACAGTCATCCAAAAAAGAAAGGCATGATGTTTTCTTCCTAAAAAAAGATCAACTGACAAAGCAAACTACCCAATACATGATTATAGCGAAAAAGATATATCCTGATCCAAGGATGGCATGAATGATTAACAGGATATCTACACTAGAATTCTCCGCTTTTGAATCTAAACAAGATCCACAGCTTTCTTCCAGAGACCGTCATGAATTGCAAATAAGCTGCCATGCCACTTTCATATTAAATAGAAACTTAAGATGCTTTAGAACAAAACTGAACATCTACTCTGTTAGAAAATGACTTAACTGGGTCAATAACAGAGGAACCACTTGCTTCCAAGTTTCTGCTAATATGATTAATATAGGGTAGTGTGCAAGATAATACACCCAAAATCAATGGGAGAAGTTACTGATTACTAGTAGAAATCAGCATCAAGTTTGATACTGGTTTGATGTGCATAGCCAGTTAGACACCCAGTACCAACTTCGTGGCTTCATCCCACTATGATATTGTTTACACGCTAAGGTAAAACTCAATAGCATGTTGTTGTCATGCCCAAATATTTTGGCTTCACAATCCACCCAATTTATATGCAAGTTTTAAGGCTAAGATACAAGTATTCGCTATTCAGGCCTATTAGTAAATTAGTAAACTCCTACACCACATGCATCTTTCACCTAAAGAATGCATGCACCAACTTGTTCCACTGAGCAAAGCTGCATTTGGAAAGTATACCAATATGCTAACTCAACCCCGCATATGTCCAATAATGACAATATAGCAATAGTTAAACAAGCTAAAATGAAATTCAACTGACTTGTCCAATGCAACTGATTAAACTTGTACGCAAATATAGGGGCAGTGCAGCTATTCCACCATACTACACTTGCTGATTTTACTGGCTTTCCTTCCATACAACTATAATAACATTAATATTGAAACAAGATTGACGGTAAATCGTTCAAACATATAGCTATCAATGAAGCCTGCTTATTCGCAAGCTAACCATTTAGGCATGCACCCAAATGATGATAAGATTCCCTGAACCATAGTTTTTTGTTCAGCTATATTATTTGGTAGGTACTACGAACAAAAGCAGCACAATGCTTAAACTGTGAATTTCCCGTTCAAATCACGTAGACTCCAAAGCATATCACCAAAGAAAGCACTGGACTGCTTGCACACACTAGAGTGGAGGCATACAGCCATATGCGCACAAGGGCGTTCACACTGTTTGAAAGGGGGCATGAGAACAGACATGAATCAATCCCCTAACATAATTCTCAAGCATGGTTTCTTCAATTGTGCAGAAATTTACTTGTCTTGTTCAATGTCGGTGTCACGTCCTCACCCAATACAGTCCAAATTCACTATATGAAATTGCCAGAATCCACAAAGGAATTCCGAAATGCAGTTGAGGTTGAGTGTACCTATCAATCACTGACATGACGTAGAGGAAGTGGAGCGCAGCGCCTACAGCGAGCGCCACGCCCCAGAAGGAGTGGTTTCCCCAGAAGCAGAGCACGCTGATGACGGCAAGGTACGCCGTGAGGCTGTGCACGGCGGCCCGCATGAGCACCCTCCCCCCGTCCTTCTTCCCGGCCGCCGCGGCCAGCCAGGACCACGCGAGCAGCATCCCCACCGCCCCCGCAGCGCCGTAGTACTTCCAGTACGTCTCCGTCAGCTCGGGGGGCAGCGCCTTCTCCTTGGACACGCCGACATCCGACCCCGGCGGCGCGACTGCGGCGGATGGCGGGGCGGCGGTGTGGTTGGCGTAGCGGTCGATGTTGAAGCGGTCGGCTACGCGGAAACGGTTGAGGCCGGCGAGCGCGAGCGCCCCGCCGAAGACGAGCAGGTGGAGGAGGAAGACGACCAGCCAGAAGACGTCGCGGCAGCGTCGCCTGGGCTACGCCGCCGGCCCCGCTCCCGGCCGGACCCCCGCTGGCGCCGGCGGCTGGGGGCTAGGGTTCCCGCTCTGGTCCGACGAGGACGGGGAGGAAGACAACATCACGGCGATCGACGATCCGCGCAGAGACTACGACGGGACTAGCGTATGGGGGGATTGGAGTCGAAGAGGGTGATTAGTGGTACTGTATCAGAGATTAGCGTTGAGGAGTGGAGTAGGTAACTGCTCTGACAGCAGTAGCGCGGTAACCGTTTTGGGTCATCCAGGACGCGCGGCGACGACTTGTGTGCGAAATGATGGAGAGGCGCGGAGACCACTTGCGCGACTCAAGTGCGAAATGATGGAGACGTCGCCGCGGAAGGAAGTGGGCAGCAGGCTTGGTTCGTCCGGAGGCGGGGCCTTCTGTTGCGTCGGCACGAATCGGAACGGAAGGAAGCCTGGCAAATTTTGGGGAGGGACAGTGTTTCAGTTTGCCTTTTTTTTAATTGCTTGGATTGCTTATCGCATGTGTGTGTCATGTGGTTTCAGTTTGGTTTTCATCGATCCATTGACATGCCAGTACCCGTTGAACTCACGTGTGTTGGCACTGAGATGAAAAAAATATGTAAACATTATTTTTGGACCCGGTAACATTGCATACGTTGCTTCGGATTTTAAGCATTTCATCCTGAATGTTTTACACATGGCAACTTTAGTTGACGCGAGGTGACAACTTTAGTTGTTAAGACATGGCAACTTTGTCCCAGTTCATTTTTTGTCAGAAAATTACAATATTTGCCAACCTCACGTGAACTAAAGTTGCCATAAAAAACGTTCAGGTTGCCATGCTTAAAATCCGAACGTTCGGGATTTATCATTGCCGTTATTTTAAAGGACCTATGTTGTATATTAAGTAGCACATGCCGTTATAGAAATACTCATGCAAAAAAATAAAATTGCATTTAAATTCTTGAGGTGCTGAAGCCTACTGCATCCACCGGCCGCATGTCGTGAGCATAGCTCGATGCCGCCTCCGGGCCTCTGCGTTAAGATAGCAAACTTTTTGAAACCTAGGAGCTTGTAGAAGTCGTGCTGGGAACTCGTCGATGCAGACCAGAAGACGCCGACGGTCGCGATATGTAAAGCAAATTGTCGCCCCAGAGAAGAAAATGCCGATAAGGGGCTGTAGAAATTCTGAAGACCATGAATGTTGGTTGAATCCGGGTAGATCAACCGGAAGCCTAAGCCAACTGAATCCCGAAAGACCCGCCGAAAGACGCGGCTCCACACGCCCTCCACTGACAATAAAACACACCAAAGGAACGAGGAAAGAGCGGGAAGAACATTATTCCCACACGGGGACAACGCTGTCGCCTCGCCGCCCCAAATCAAACTCGAAGACTCCCTAAAAAATGTTAGAAATATGACCTAGAGGCAATAATATAAGTATTATTTATTTTGAAGTTTATGATTGATGTTTATATTCTATTCCATACCAGTTGTGATTCTTGAATCTGTGGAAATCAAGAGGCTCAGAGAAAAACTCATGTGCATGTGTGAAATTATAAATAGTAAAATAGATTTCTAGTCTAGCATCTATGACTAGCTCAAGTGTTGCATGATGGTTTTGTTTCCTTGATCATGAGCATAGTTAAGTGTGATGATGATGCCGCCAACATTGAGGACATGATGCTAGAAGAACACTTGTGTTGAATTGGCCCAAATTGTATGTTATGCTAGGAGATGATTTCGTCATAAGTCCATAACACAAGAAAGATAACATATGCACAATTGCTTAGACCATGGGAGTACCAAGTCACTTCATACTGGATGATGCACTTTGGGGTTGTTCTAACGTCAACCGTAACAGGGTGATCATAACGACAACTTACAGGTTCATTGAAAATGTATGCCAAGAGACCTGATAGCTTGAGACTAGGATTTTCTCTTCTGATGATGGAGAGACATTCTTAGGGCCTTCTCGATGTGACCACATCTATCAACGTCTCACTATACACAACATGATTTGCTCATGGGGATGCCGGAACACGAGAACGAGAAAAGAGAACAAAACCAGTAACGAGGAGACTCGCATAGTGATCATGTGTTTGACTCACGGGGATGTCAAAACACGAGAACCGGAAAAGGGAACAAAAGTGGTAACAAGGAGACTGCCATAGTGATCATGCATTTGACTCATGGGCAAGTCGATATATCTCACCTCGGTTTGTGTAAAGTATCACGAAACAAAAGTAATAGCATACGGTAGCTATAGGTTCACTCGATATTTATTCGTGTGAGTATAGGGTCAATATGGATGTCCATGGTTCGGTTGCTGATCATTGAACAAAAGGTATTTCGATCATGTCTATATTTCACCGAACCTACAGGGTCACACGCTTAATAGTTTGAGATATGTACTATTTGTGTTAGGAGCTTAGGACAATATCACCAAAAAAGTTTCCGTGATAATCAAAATTGTTTTCAGAGAGAAGCAGAAGTGTTCAAAGAAAACTGGAAGGTGGAAAGAGCTTTGGAAAGTGTTTAATTATGTAGGAGGGCTCCGAGAATTTTCCCGACCCCCCTAGGATTAAAAGAGGCACCCTAGGCCTTGCCTATAGGGGCAACTGCATGGGCCTTGCGACCCATTAGGGTACCCCCCTTAGCTTTGGCGCTCATGCCTATCTTGGAGCAGCTAGAGTTTTGGGTTAGGGCCCACCCCATGGTGCCGTGCCAAAATGGGAGGGTACCTCTTTCCCAAGTCGTCCTCCCATCCCCTACACCTATATATACTCAAGGGGGTGCCCCCTCTTTGAACAAAAAAATCATGTGCATTGAGATTCTCCCTCTTTCTCTCTAATTCTTTAGAAAACTTCTTTTGCCGCGAGGCTGCTCCTCCCTCCTCTAGTTCTCCGTTGATGCCTAGTTCTGGAGGGGGAAGCGATGCCAGATCGTCAATCTCGTACACGTGCAATCCATAGAGAGATCATGCTATTGATCTTTGTTCGAGGGACCGTTCGTGGGGCGGTTCGAGGGACTTCAAGAACAATCTTCATCAACTCTTCTTCCACTGCAACTCAAAGTTGGTAATGATCAGATCTAACCTTGCATTCATCTTTATAATGATCATGGTCTCGTTTCGTAGAACGATTTTTTTGTTTCTACTATGATTCCCAAGAAAGAAAACCTGGGACAAAATTTTGAACAAGTGCAGCAAGGGGTAGTCGGACGTCCGAGTTGGAGTCCGGATGTCCATGTTCAAATCCGGATGTTTAGGGCAGGTAAACCGTGGTGATTTGGGGATTTTGGGTCTTGAATTTGATGGGAAAAGGAAAATTTTCAACGGGGAGGGTCGGATTTGTGGGGAAATATGTAGAAAGCCAATGGGAGGCTAGATCCACAAGTAACTCATCCCTTGTTCAAGAATTCATCCGGTTAACCAATTAACTTGCCGATTAATTCCTACTCGTAGGATCACCGAGCAGCTGATAAACTAATAAATCATCTGATTAATTGATTAACTTGCCGATTAGCCTATTAATCCATACTCGCCATCCAATAGAGCAGCTACTAATTAACAATTTCCTTGATAATAAACTCATCACATCCATGAATCAAACCCAACCAAATCTCACAAGATCCAAGAAAATTGGTTGGCTAATTTTGTGGGGAATTTTCGAAATTATGCAAGAATGAACTAAAATAGCCTAGAAAGGTGGGCATACGACTTCAAAGTGTGAGAACCTATGCTCATGGTACCAAGATAATGTAGGGACAAGCCTTAGGTTGCCCAATCTTCCATGATTTGGAGGTTGAATTGAGAGAGAACTCAAGAACAAGAGGAAACAAGAGAAATCGCAAGAACAAACAATCAAGACAAGATCCAATCACATGTTCTCTTTCCACAAATCCATATAGGAATCACAGGATCCACAATCAAGTAAGAGAGAGTAGTTAAGGTAGTTCTTCCCTAATTTGTAAGTGGAGATGGGGGCTTGATGATCTAGAGAGATCCTTCTCCCTTAGGGTAACTTGATGATCTAGAGAGATCCTTCTCCAAGACGGAGATCTAGAGAGATCCTTCTTCAAGATGTCACAACCTTGATGGTGTTCTTCTTTGCTATGAAACTTTGGTTGTTTCTTATTACTAGATGACCCGTTGCGCCATTGACACAGCGTAGAGGCCAACTGCAGCCCGGAAGTTAAGCGAACCATTTGAAACATAAAATCGAAGTTAAGTGAACTATTTGAATAGACCAACTGCAGTCGAGAAGCGAAGCAACTAATACAACTGAAAATTTAGGTTAACTATTTAAAGGATGTTTCTCATGAACGATATGCAAGTGATTATATATGTATCGCATTTGTCTCTGCCTTGTATACTTACCATTGACATATAACGATAATTGTTGCATATGTCCTTCTTGGGCCGGCCAGCCCTATACCCGGGTTGATAGAAAGGTTGAATGCACCCCATGACACATGACATGCACCAAAGGAACCAGGGACTCATACTCAGAAGAACTGAGGTGAAACACACCCCATTAAATTAATTGGTAACAATGTTTATTTGAATACATTGGAGATCTGGAGGTTGAAGGAGCCAAAGATGGCGCCTTCATAAAGACCTAGAGCATGTTTAATGAGACTATGCACCTTGATGTTTGACTCTCTTCCTTCGAAGATAA